GTCCAAGTCTCCTGGATCACGTTCGGTGAGAAAATCACGTTCCCGAAGGTTTTATTCCGTTTGGACTCCGTTTGATATTTTGTTTCTCCGAAATACTGAAATAGGCAAAAAACAGCAATTCTGGGCTGGGCCTCCGGTTAATAGGTTAGTCCCAAAAATAATATAAAAGTAGAAAATAAAGCCCAATATAGTCCAAAACAGTATATAATATAGCATGGAGCAATCAAAAATTATAGATACGTTGGAGACGTATCAGCGGCCGACCCAAACGGACAAAAAGCGGACAAAAACACCGTCCGTTTGGGTCAGCCCGTTGGAGTTGCTCTTACCTACACATGTAAAATAGTGTAGTCCAACAATAATAATATAAATATATAAAAATCCTCGCGTAATTAATTTACGCAAAATAGTTTATCCAAAGATATGTGGCCTGGCGCCGAAATCATTGTCGATGCAGGGCGTCGGCGTGATGCGGTAAAGGCGTGGCAAAGCCGAACGACCACGCGATCGTCGTTAATGCGGCCACCATTTGATAGACAAACCAGAGTAATAATTCCTCGGAAAAATAAACCTAAACAAGCAAAAATTACTAGGATTAATAGCACCTGGTTTATTTGTTATAGCAATCCGAAGAAAGGTGACTCCCAAAATTGGGACTCGATCCGCACACCCATTGCCTGATGGGCGATAAAACGACGGCATGGCGACGCTGGCAAAGCTTGACTCGCCGAGACAAAGCCCTTGGTCCAGCTAACGTGACGAAGCTAGTCGGCTGGTGACGCCGGAGTAACTGGAGTAGGTTTGATGAAGATATGGTGAAGCCCCCGGTCCAGCCGAGGTGACAGAGCAGGTCGGTAAGGAGACGTTGTAGCTGCCGTGTCAGCAGAGGTGTTGAAGCAGTTCGGCGTGATGGACATCGACTTGAAGAAGCAACAGTGCGGCCATGCCGACGCAGGTCGTAACTTATGATGCGGTCAATGTCGGCTTGATGAAGTGATCATGCGGCAATATCGGTGTGCCCGCTCTGTGTGATCCATAGGGTGGCGATGTTGGCGATTATTTATCCTTTGCGATTCCGAATTCTTTGTTCGGCTCGCCGAGATGATGATCCGAAGAAGTTGAGCTCGGCTCAACAAAGCGACGACATGTCTAGTGCAGGTTGGCAACCGTGAAGTAATATTGCCGGACTGATTTGACACTAGCATGACGGTGAAGATTACCTCCGAAAAGGAGCAAAATTCGTGAGCATGTGTTCGGAAACAAAACACAATACCCTAGAAAGAGATTCTTCCAAAAAGATTGTCCAATATCTCGTTCATGAAGAGAGATGATCTCAGGTCGATTCGTATTCGCGTAGAAAACAGATCCGAAAAGTGATGCACTAATCGGAAGGTTTCTGAAGTTTGAACGGTCGGATCGAGCTGAAATTTTGAGAGGTGGTAGATATGGAAATTCTGCAGCAGATGAACGGTTGGATCTTCCAAATAACCTCCGAGATGGGCTCTGGATACCACGCCCTAAACTCGTCCTGATTCCTGTCTAGACTCGACAGGGCTCCGGTATATCGGAGATCGGCGGAGATTGCTCCGTCGGAACGCGACAAAATTTTACAGGGTTGTTGTAGACTCAATTTCGCACAATTCCACTGAAGGAATCGTCAAAGCGATGGTGGTGGCAGCAGATACAATTTTGCTATCCAAAAGAACAGCACGGTCGCCCGAGGGCAATGTTGACGTTGAGCCCCCGAGCTCTAAGGATGATTCCTCCATGATCGTGATAGAGATCGGAGTTGATGTTTGATGAAGGCCCTCGTCCAAACATGACGATTAGAAGCGGGGCACAGTCCTTGGTCAAGCCAAGGTAACCAGTCGACCCGGCGACGAAGACGCCGATGTCGTAGTTGATCTGCAGGCGAGTCATTGATCCTTTGTCGATCTCATAGTGGAACTCTTAATGAAAGCACCATTATCGGTGTCAAAACCGGCAGATCTCGGGGTAGGGGGTCCCGAGCTGTGGATTCTCGGATCAATGATAACAGGAACGAAGGAGATGATGTTTTACCCAGGTTCGGGCCCTCTTGATGGAGGTAAAACCCTACGTCCTACTCTTGTTTATATTGATGGAGTATCAAGTACAGAGTTGATCTACCTCGAGATCATATGTTGTGGTCTAAAACACGAGGTTATGATGAATAATGTCATAATGATCTAGCGACTAGCCTGGCCTCGGCTTATATAATGTACCGAAGGCCTGGGATAACAAGATTCCTAGTCGAATACGTTGGTGGAGAGGAGTCTTTGTCTTGATCATCAAGTCTTGTGAAATCTTCCTCGTGTGCGGCATGGGCTGCCCGAAGTGGGCCATGAGTGAACCGCCATGGGGGTCCTCGGCCCGATCCAGCTGGTCGGGAGACGACGTGGTGAGTACCCCCTAGTCCAAGACACCATCACCCACCTCCGCCCGTGCTGTCCGACTGCCGGAGCCCGCCTCACTCGCGTCACCGGCCGTCGCAGGGAACAGCGCCGGGCGCGGAGGGCCGCTACCGCTCGTCTCCATCGGGTGCAGGACACCGAGTGGCTGCCGACGGGCGCTGCCCCGTGCCCGGTGCGGTCTGCGGCAGGGTAGCAGAGTTGCTTGGCTCTTTTTCTCTGTAGCATGAATGTATATATTGATTATCGAAATTATTGATGTTGAGTTCTGTAAATTGATATACAAACAATGTTGTAGCTGCCAATTTTTGACGGCCAGGTGTTGTGCGAACCACGGAGGGGTGAGTCAGGGCCTAAGATCAGGCCGAAAGGCGTAGTCGATGGACAACATGTCGATATTCCTGTACTACCCCTTGTTGGTACGGAGGGACGGAGGAGGCTAGGATATATTGATTATCGAAAATATTGATGTTGAGTTCTGTAAATTGATATACAAACAATGTTGTAGCTGCCATTTTTTGACGGTCAGGTGTTGTGTGAACCATTTGTAATAGACTTGTTGTGTAAATTGATCTATGAAGAATGTCATGAGAAAAGTTTTAGAAAATGTCCCGTGATTTTTTTAAATTAAAAAAATCTTTGCCATCTGTAAATTAGATCAGCTGACGGCAAAGATTGTGTTTCAGCTGACAGCAAAGATATTTCTTTGTCGTGTGTTATTGGGATTGGCAGACGGCAAAGTCTTTGCCGTCTTCCTGATGAAAAGCTGACGGCAAAGTATTCTTTGCCGACTTATCTTTGTCGTCTGAGTTTGCCGTCTGCTTCCTGACGGCAAAATCTTTGCCGTCTGTGATCCACAGACGGCAAATTACCTGTTTCCTGTAGTGGATGTAATCAAACCATATATGACATGATAAGACCAAAGATGACATGAATCAATTTGTCGTTATCCTTTTTGAGGTAATGCTTTAGTCATTGTAGATTTACACAAAAAGTAGCGCAGTTGAATCTGTTGAAGTGACACCATTTTTTGGTACGCTAAACCACGTTTGTCTTTTCTTAACATTTGGAACTTAAGAAATGTGCAAAGTGTTTGCAAAACTATTCAAATCAAACAAGTGCTACTTTACAGGTTATCCCAAAATGTTGGGTATTCCTCCATCACTATGTCGAGGCAAAGTGTTTTTCATAGAGAGCGGTATATTTTGAAAAAAAATGCCTTTTGCAAAAGAGTGAGTATGAGGACAGTGCAACTCGACGAGATAACATAATATGCATCATCCCATCAAAGGAAGAAACAATGGAAGTTGTTCCAGAGTTTCCTATTGTAATGACTGATACAGAAGTCTCTACATGATATGTATACACTTCAGTTGAACTTGCAGCTGAACCATGCAGGAAAAACTCATGCAAACAAGGCATTGTTGTTAGACAACGGTATATCTACGGTACACATGCAAGCATTGGTGGGCCTGACTTCAGAATTGGCTAAATACCAAAATAATCAGAGATAGTATCCATATACATGATTCGAGATTAGATCTTGATAAACTCCTCCGAAAGACTTAGAGTCTAACGAATACGTATGGAACTATAAACTGATACAAATCAAATTTGGTTTTTATCCATAAAGATCAAGTTGTTGCTACTAAAAAATTCAAGGAGTTGACTACTGCGAGATTGTCTCACCGCTGCGATGCTTAAAGTTAGTTTGTGTTATACTAGCAATTAATACGCATTAAAATTATGAGATATGTTAGATGGACACCAAAAGGATTTCCAAGGACATGTAAACAAATGTGAGACTAGACATAAGTAAACAAATGTTACTTTTACAAGGTGCGAGATATCCCAAATAAATAAATACTAGTATGAGAACACCACTACTGTAGAAACACAAATTATAAATGCATGTATGTGATCTCAACTCAAAAACATGGTCTTGATTGTAGTTTCTCTACCCAGCCAATTTTTTCAGTTCTATGTCATAGTAGATGGGGGCATACAAATTGCAATTTCAACATGGTGATTGATGTTGTCTCCTGCCTAATCTACCATCTTGTGCATTCAACTTACTCATACCATTCAGAAAAAGGTTACTCATGGCCATTATAATATGTATGTTATTTCGCTATAAATATTGCAAAGGACCTATTATGATCACTCGATACTATTCAGTTACTACAACATGATCTTTCACTATAGTTCCGCTTTTTTTTCTTGTGAACCATGCAACGGTCACATGATACCATCATCTTTTGACGATCTCCTAAGCCGGTGACAACTCTTTATTTTTTTTTATGGGTTCGTAGTAACGCACGGGCATTGTGCTAGTAATAGTGAAGGGAGAGAGTAGCTCCCAATCAAATCCATTAAACACCCACAAAAGCGGGGAAAATCTAACAAACGCCCACCAAACTTTAGGTCTCTGGTCCTCGTCACCCATCAAGCAGACAATGCTGCCCCTTGAAGCAACATCTCAGTACTATCTCACACCACACCACGCTAAACCAAACCGCCGTGATATTTCATCGCATTGCCGAAAGTGCCACACAGCATACCGCATACACGATGACGAGCCCCACGCTCGCGCGCAAGGCCAAGCTCAAGAACCACCTCGTCTCCGCGAAGGCCAAGCTCAGGCAGCACGTCACCCTCCGCCGCATCGTCCTCGTCGCCGCCGCATCCGCCGCGGCCTTCATTCTCCTCCTCACCGTCCGCACCCTCTCCGCCTCGCACGCCAGATCACCGGGCGCCGCCTCGTCCACCACCTCCCCGCCCGAGGCCGTACGGCGCAACACGCAGCAGCAACAGCAGGGCGGGTGCGCGAAGCTGCCTGGGCCCGTCGCCGAGGCGCTGGTTCACTACGCGACCGCCAACGCGACGCTGCCGCAGACGGCGGCCGAGGTCGCGATGACCGCGCGCTTGCTGGCGCAGCGCGCTCCGTGCAACCTCCTGGTGTTCGGCGGTCTTGGCCCCGACAGCGCGCTCTGGGCGGCGCTCAACCACGGCGGACGCACCGCCTTCCTCGAGGAGGACGCCGCCCTGATCACCGAAGTTGGCGCTCGCCACCCGGGCCTCGGCCTCGAGTCCCACCAGGTCGCCTACCAGACCACGCTCGCCGACGCCGACGAGCTCCTCGGCCTCCGCGGCTCCCCGGACTGCACCGCCTCCCCGCCCAAGGATCATCCACTCTCGCCGGACCACTTCGAGGGATCCCCATGCAAGCTCGCCATGCGTGGGCTGCCGGCAGCGTTCTACGAGACGGAGTGGGACGTGATCATGGTGGACGCGCCGACTGGGTGGGTGCCAGAGGCGCCGGGGAGGGTGGGCGGCGCGATATACATGGCCGGGATGGCGGCGCGGGCACGGCGGCCGGGGAGTGGCGAGACGGAGGTGTTGGTCCACGACGTGGACAGGACGGTGGAGGACAGCTTCTCCAGGGCGTTCCTGTGCGCAGGCTACCTTGAGGAGGAGGTCGGCAGGCTCAGGCGCTTCGCCATCCCGAGCCACAGGGAAAAGGAAGGAATGCCATTTTGCCCTTGAGAGCAAAACATAAGCACATACAACTACAAAAATCTATACTACTATGTTTGTAGGATTTAGAACCAAAAGGATCTGCAACATGGCAATTCCAAGATTCTTGATTTCTTTTTGTTGCCCTGGGACGAACAAGAATGTTTTGATTTCTTTTGATCCATTTTCAGTTATAAACATGGGAAGATGGGATCTGTTGTATACGGACTCCAGGATGAACACTCCCTGTGACATTAATTTGTGTGAATTCTTTCCTGAATTTCAGTGATCTATCTTTTGGTGTACATTTTAAATTTTCCATGCGACGTTGCAATCGATCAAGCAATGTAGTGCCACCCAGCCAGGTAGGGAGTCACCAACTCCTTCCTATGCAAGCACCAACCTCAACAACTCCTCCAACAACTTAAAAGGAATGGCCCAGTCGACTCATGAACTAACCACCTTTTGTTAGCAGGATCAGATTTACAACCACCTTTTGTTCTCAAGATACGGAGCAATGGGGTATATGTCATAGGAGATATGGTCTGATCTAGTCATTGCATTTTTCCTAATTTTTCAGGAAGATCGAACTGCAATACCAATTGCAGCTATCGTTCTGATTCCCAGCAGCATCATGGGTTCAGCTTCTGCATTTTCATGTTAATATTACAGAAAATTATGCGACTGAGGCAGGCCCAAGGATTTGGAGTTTGTTCAGTTGTCATGCTTGCATAATGCATCCACCATGGGTTATCATGGTGGGATACTGGACTACATTGCTTTATCATGAGAAATTGCCATTTTCTCTCCTCAATGTTTGTTCAGAACTATGTTCTTTATGTTCAGATAATTTGCTACAGCAATCTGTGGTATTTGTACTGTACATCCTTCCTTGTAAATCTTCTTGTACTTCAAATATCATCACGAAGACAAAATATGAGGGCCATAAACCGTCAAAAATCCGCTACAAACCTTGGCTTGTATTTCTTAGACCTCCCCAGCCCCTAAGCTTCACCATGCCCCCTTAGTACACATTCAATACAAATGGCAGCATATGCTCATTAAGCTCACAAGGCATCTGCCTCACTTAAAAATAATGGTACCGGTATCGCCCAACTCTTGTAATGATCTTCAGCTGTACAAAAATGGCAGTAGCTCTTTTTCAATTAATTATGGCCATTTGGAGAGAAGTTGCTCTTCTAGAGATGCTTTGTAGAAAAATGCATACTGCCATCCCAGGACTTTGAACTTTGAAATGCTGGAATCTTTGACAGTTCGATCCCACTCATCTGTTTCACAGATCTCAACTCTTGATGCAGCGCGCTTTGCGCACCGCTTCCTGAACATTCCGCTCATGTTCTCTGAGCATATCCTCTATGTTCCCATCTTGAGTAGCCAGTGGACCAGACAAATTGACTATTTTGCTCTTACCCTTGTAGTCCTGATCAGACAAAAAACAAAGACATATAATATTTTAGGTAAGAGACACTCAAAATGTTTTAATAGAATAAATTGGAAGGTACATACAAAAGAAACCAATATGTATGAAATGATGGTGAACTGATGTCCCAACAAAGGACAATATAAGCATCTGAACTCTCAGCAGAAAATAATTCATCTTAAATCAAGCACTCACAAATAACCTTTGTGTTTCTTATTCTAGAAATACTAATATAAATATTTAATATTTTTTATCATGTCAGCAGAAGAGTTCCTTTTACTTAAGGAATAGTTTTGCAGCATAAACAGCGCCAATACACCAACAGTATCACTGGGCTTGCACTAAAAAAGGTCCTCGAACGCTTAGCTGACATATTATGTGATTTTCTGCTGTCCAGACTTATGCTTTGGTTGATTAAACAGCAGTTATATGTAAAAAAACGCACTATCTTTAGCATTACCATACTTACCACCATTGGGCCTTTTACTCCTATCTCTTTGTTGTGAGAAGCAGGCACAATGTTCCCTACGCCAGTCGATTCAGGTTTAAACATGTCTGAGCCCTTTGTCCTTGAAATGTTGGAATTTGCCAATCGGCCAGATCTGTATTTGCGTTCAGGTACTTCGTGATGGTCCATATAATTGTTACCTCCATTGTTCCATGTGGAATCAAACCCTAGAGGTTGTACCTCAGTAGCCAACGTCAGTTGATCATCCTTTGGATTGAGATGTGCACTATTGAACCTTGTTTTGGTATGCTGAAGCCTCTGTATGATGGAAAAGCAACAGTCAAATAATGCAATCCTGTTATTAAAAAGAGTGCAGAATGTGACCACTTTAGGAAAAAAGACGTAGGAGTGCATCATTTCACGTAAGGCATTCCGTTTCTTCTGATTGCAGTGATCATCAATGAAAAACTATACACAGAAAGGAAGCATCTCAACAAATGATTGCCGAGCGATTGTACGCACCTGCGGTTTAATAGAACCATATGCAGCACGGTTTTCTCTAGGATTCTCAATTCCTGATCGAACAGATTCTGGCCTTCTTTGTCTATCCAAAGAGCAAGAAGTATTTCTGGGTCAACTAACAAAGCATCTCAACTGCATCTTCCCTATGAACAGAAAGAAAGGATATGAAATCATACCTTCTTGCTTCCTCTTGTCGGAGTCTAGCATCATATTCTTTGCTCGGTGGACACTTTGGTAAGTCCGAAGGGCTGCAAGCAAGTGGCTCTGTTCTAAAAAACTGAAGAATTGGATACATAGGTTAAATGCTGGTACGCAAATATCTTTTAATAAATGCAGTTTGCAAAACTAGCCAGCTGACCTAATAAATATATACCAACTGATCTAGAAATAATAAGTTGATGATCTTCACCAGGTTAGATTAGTTTTGGCATGATGCTAGGTTTTAAAAGGTACTACTGGACCAATCTGACAGTTTATTCCAGCAAACAAAATCTGATAGCTTATTCAGGCTGTATGCACAATTTTCCATGCAATAAGCTGAAAACTGACCAAGTTCAGATCTAGTCCAAATGCTTCAGTGAGGTAACTAGCCACATATAGTAGACTAATTAACTTAGTTTCATTTTGTTACTCATGACATAACATATGCATGAAAGTTGTTGCAGCAAAAAAACATTCAGGCTCATCAAAAGATGTTCAAATTCCTCTACTTACCACAAACAAATTGTACAAAAGTAGATACTTTTATACCGTGGTAACCTAAAAGTTTTCATGGTACTAGTCCTGATCAGTATTTCAGGTTGCTGTTAACAGACCCAATAGTATTGTCCTTTGAACCCTTGTGGCTGCCCTGCCTTGGTATTATCCTTTTATTAGTGTCATGATATAATACTTTCAGAATTTCTATAAGTCAATAGTTTACAAACTAAAATACGATGACCAGGAACCAGCAGAGGTTGACTAAACTTACGTCACTCTGAAGACTTGAGGCAGCTGTTCCACGAGCTTCTGGTTCTAATGCAAGCAAGTTATCTAGAAGAACTAGAGCTGATGGAGGTAAATCTTTGAAATTCTCAGCAATGCACCGCTTATACTGGCAGAGGGGCTTGAACATCCCTGTTGGGGGCACTTCCAATTTCTGCCAGTACTCGTCAGAAGGTGATCCACAGAGCTTGAAAATCTTGTGAATTTGCTCCACCTAGCATGGAATTATTGTAGAACACATATTAAATAACATAAGAGCAACTGTGAGTCAACCAGATCACAATATACCCTTTTCTTGATGCTAAAAGTGTAGCAGTTTCTTGTACCTCAGTTCTGCCTGGCATGATTGGCTTGGCAGCCAGCAATTCCCCAAAAATGCACCCTGTACTCCACATATCCACAGCAGCACTGTACCTGGTGGCACCAAGCAGAAGTTCTGGTGGTCTGTACCACAATGTTGCAACACGGCTTGTCAGTGGTTGCCGACTCTCAGGATCATAAAATGTAGCTAAGCCAAAGTCAGCAATCTTCAAAACACCATTGCTATCAATCAAGAGATTGGAGCCCTTCATGTCACGATGAAGAATTCCTTTGCTGTGGCAATGATCAAGGCCACTAAATATCTGTTGCATCAAACACTTGACCTGGATGAGACTCATGAGAAATAATTTAAGTTCATGTCATGCATTCCAATCAAAATATCAGTAGAAGAATAGTATCATAATCACCTGTGACTCGGTGAACTTGAGTTCTGGAGTTGCAGCAAGGCCAACAAGGTCATGTTCCATGTATTCAAAGACGAGATATAGGTTTTGTGAAACAGGAGATGTTATTATCCCTTCCAACTTTATAACATTGGGATGATTGAGTTTCCGAAGAACACATATTTCTCTAGCCATAAAGCGCACACTTTCAGGATCTGTATTGGCAAACCGAACCTTTTTGAGCGCAACAATTTTGGCTGTTCTAAGATCCCGAGCTTTGTAAACACTACTATAAGTCCCTTGTCCAATCTGCAACTCAAAAGAATAAATGCAAAACGGGGAAATTGAGAAGAAGAAGAAAGTACTAACAAGAAATAATATCATTTTTTTCCTGATGAAGTAACTTGTATCATCAAACTGATAATGTACCTTACTTAATCTCTCAAACAAATCAGCTCGCAGTGGGGCCCAGCCTTGCACTGCCTCAGGTGCCACAGTCACAAGCCAATCTGGCCATCCAGTATTCAAATGTTCAGCTGATAACCGCTTCGCCCCATTGAAGAAACCTAAATCCAGTTTATTACCGTATCGTCCAATTATGCCATTGTGCCGAGTGCTGATCCAGATTTTGAGTCTATGTCTTGCCCTCGGCTTCCTAGGAGGGTCAAAACCAAGAACTGGCTTCTCTTTCAACTGGACATTGGGCACTTCTGTATTTCTGCCATCACCAGCAACTTCAGGTACAGCCGACAATTCATCCTTGCTGGACGGTGCGATTAACCCATGTATACACGTGCCATCAGTGGTCTGGCTTTTCGAGGTGGCACTATCTTCTTGTTTAGTGCATTTAGAACAAAAGCGGCCTATAAACACATTTAGTGCCTTTCCACTTGATCGAAGGAATTGAATATGTATCTTCATTCAGCAAAAAGACAAGCAATGCCTGAACTTCTCAATGTTACAGCAGCCTTGAAGATATTTTAATTTGACGGCATGAGAAGTCCAAATTCCAGACTGTAATATGAAGAAAAGATATGTCCAAATATTTCCTTCAACTTGAGTGCAAAGTTCATTGTACTAGATTAAGAAAGCAAAACTAGTAGAAACTCAATTAGAATCTTATGTCGAGAATAAAAAAGAGAAACTTCACCATAGTCATGATTGCAATTTCTAACTCTATCCAAGGAAGTTATTCCAAATTCAAAAAGGAATTATACTGTAAGCAGCCAAATGTGACCGAAATTCCACATTTTGAAGCTAGCATCAAGAGCAAAACAGTTTTACTATATCAAGGACAATTTAAAACAAATACAAATTCAAATAGATCCGTAAACCAAAGTCACAAGTTAAGAAGTCAAGAAAAAAAAGCAAGGATATAGACAATCCATCAAAACTGCAATGTTCTAATACAACAATAAAATAATATGATCAAAATTCCATCTTCTGAGGCTATATCATGAACTGGTCATTCTTCTGGTTAAAATTGATTCGATTTTAAGAGCAAAACATTAAGGCTAAAACAATCGAAATTACTTTTTGAAGGGAAATCAAATAATAAACCTATAAAGCAAAATCACAAGTTAAGAAGTCAACAACATGAGAAAGGGATGCCAGCAATCCATGAAAACTACAATCTTGTCCTACACAACTAATCAATTTAGGCTCTTCACAGCAAAGGACAGAACCATATATAGTTTAGCTGTCAACTAGTCATATATTTCAACATTTCGAGGAAATATGTGAAGAATTATGATGGATACCTTAATTTCCCGCTTGACGCCCCTTTCAAGAAAATGCAATGGCACCAGAAACTGAACAATCTCCCCCACCTTCCCCTCACTCCATTCTAATCCTGAAATGGAGGAGAGGAAGGTGGGAATAACTATGCAAAATGAATTTGTTAAAACGAGATTGTGCCTTAATGGTATATTTTTGTGAAGATCTCTTTCGCGCTAATTGAACAAAAAGTAAGGTAGAGAAAATTCAAACAAAAAAAGACAATAGAAAATGGCACCTAAAAGGTACAGTGATGTAGATTAAAAACTACAGGTGGGGAGGATTTGTAGAGAACTAAAGTTAGCATGTATGCATGTTTCTTCTGTCTATTTTCTTCCTGCCCTATTATGGATAGAAGTGGGTGACTAAATAAACCATGAAATAAATCTAGGGAAGAAGAAATTACAGAAGCTTGCAGAAGTAACTAAACCTTTGCGGTGCAGGTCAGGATCCCTGCATACCCAGAGTCTATCCGACTGACAGTTTGACGTCACCTTCTACAACACCTTGGGGTGAGCTGATCATGTGAACTGGCCTTGTTCGAAGATTGCAACAAGCTTGACACCCGAACAAGTGCGAGCACATAACAATCCTAGTCCAGCATTTCGTCGAACACCTTATGGTCAGTCTCCTCACGCTCGTCGAGCAGGCACCGCGACCTTATGGTGAATTGGTGGTGATGGGGAACGTTGCCGATTAAATTCAAGATTGTTGCACGCAGTGGTGGATGTGGAACTGGAGGTACGTGCCGGCCGGGGCCGGCATGAGAAGAGAGAGATAACGTCGGGGACTGCTTCTTCGAACTTCGTGTCCTTCGTCCAATTTTAGGAGGGCGCTGCTGGGAGCTTGCTGCTGCATCACCACTGCCTCTCCACTTCTCTGTGTCTTGTCCGATGGTCGCTTGTTCAGCGCATGTTTTAGTTGTGGCGTTCCAAATTCAAAATTCTTTTTTCAACAGAAGCAAAAAAATTGTCTGCTACACTAACTAAGTAAGGAAAACGTTAACCTTCAGCCGGCTGATGCTCACACAACATCCGCCGCCAGCGTTGCCGTCGGATTGATTTCGATCCAGCGTTCGCACGGGCGACAAGTCCCGTGCAGCTAGTTTTTTTTTTCTTTGCAGCAAGCATCTTGTTTCAGAAGCTTTCTGCACCAGAGATCTTGTTTCAGAAAGAAAAAAAGTATTTGGTGGTGAAGTTTTTCTTTCGGCAACATGGTCTAGTTTCAGAAAGTTTCTGCAACAAAGGTCTTTTGTTTCAAAAAGAAGAAAAATGGTTCGACGATAAATATTTTCTCTTCTACAACAAGGGTATTGTTTAAGAAACATAGCCCCGGTTGCAGAAAACGCAGAATGAGCGTCCCGCGTTAGAGCATACAAGGCCATGCATTGCAACACGACGCATATTTCAGAAATAGCTTCGGTTGTAGAAATTGCCATACGAGTGCGTTGTCGTGCTGGAGTAGAGGCAGTTTCTTGGGGTGCTGGTTCGGAGGAGGCGCCACGACTCCGGCGGCCGGCGACACTCTATGGCCGAGGGACTCATACCATAACGGGGCAATGGTGTTGTCTCAGTGGACCTTTGCAACCATGAGGGCAATAAGCTAGCTATTGCGAAGGCGCCCAGTTGGCTGGGACAGTAGACCGGACGGCTGTTTTGGGCGGCATCCGACGATTGTTGAGACGGCTGATCTTATCATTTTATTACCCGACGGACACGTAACATTCTAACATACGATGACTAAGAGCATCTACACACCGGACTTGTCTATAGGACCTTCTAAACATCCGCAGACAGCGTCCGGTCATTCTCAAATGTTCGCGTCCAAAGCGGCCTTTTTCATGCAAAAATCGTCAATTTCATATAATCTCATGCAGCGTTAAAACACAAACATACGTAACTCATCTAGATTAACACACGTAGCATAGGGGAGTTCTCGTACATGCTATCGGACTGCCCAAAATTGACATGTTGTACTAGCTAAAATCTGACTATAGACGAAGTTCATCCTAGGCCGCCCTTGCCCTCATCCTTTCCTTTGCCATTGCCTTTGCCTTTACCCTTACCCTCTTCATCGCAGAAGTAGTGGTCGAAAACATATTATGGATCGAGCCGGATCTGCTCCTGCCGGTGTAGTTATCTGTTAGGATAGGCGCTTTTGCTTTGTACTTTTGTATGGTCGCTGGTGGTGTGGTGTTCGTGCTACGCTCGTGGTTCGTAGCAAGTGGTAGTCTTCTTTTACTTACAATTCTGCCTTCTAATAAAGTTATGATACGACTAGTTGTACTAAAAAAATGTTTCCCTTGTGTTTTTCTTTCTCTGTCCAGAGTACCCAAAATAACTATAGATAAATAGAACAGTTCATCCATAAAATAGCATGCAAATATTCTAATGCAATAATAGTCCAAATGTAAATATTACAATCCAATATAAATTTTAAAGTAAAATAGTTCAAATTTGAACTCAACTTATTTGGGCATATGTTCTAGTTGTCCTTCTGAAGCACTCACAGGTGCTCAACCAGATTCTGAAGTTCGATGTTGAATCTGTTGATCTATTTGGATAAAATTATGAAACATCATTCGGATACTAGGGTGAAAATTTGATAGGATCACACATATTTTTAAAATCCAAAATAGTGTGAACTGCCTCACCCTCACAATCATGTTGTGCATGATCACACCGGTGAATTAACAACTTGTGGGACCCTATCCAGTCAATCTCTCGAGCCCCAAGAAAACCCCCCTATCGTCATCTTCTCCGACAATTTCTCTAAATCCCATATTTTTATGTCTTCAAACAAATGCAAAATGGACTTGAAGCATGCCAAATACCCGATGGAGTGACGGACGTCCGACAAGGTCTGGGTGGGCGGCCGATAATGGTACAACGTCGCCGTCTGTTTGGGAAGGGAGCGGATACAGAGTAATGGAGGAGGGGCGAAGTGAGAACGTGCGGGCTTCGCCATGGTTTTGGCTAAGTCTGAGGTGTCACGGGCCTACATGGAGAAGGTCTGGATACCTACAAACCTCCCAACTTTGCAACCAGTTTGTGAGATTTCGGACATCCAGACCAAGGCATGACATTGGAAGACAAAAAATGTCCGCACAGCCTGGTCGGGACGTTCAGGGCGATTCGGTGATGGAAAACCCTTATTTTTGCCCGACTGATTTCTTGAATTGCATCCACAACTTTATGCCTGAGGAAAACCTGTGCCTGGAATGAGCCTGGAGAGGTGATGGTTTTCTGCCTGACCAGGCTCACATGCGATGGTAGTGTTTGGTTCGCGCCTAGCATGGCTGATTATTAGGTGGACCCCATACCTGTCCTAGTTACTTTATTAGCAATCCCAGGCAGGTGAGGTAGAGGCCAGGCGTCCATATTCAGATGCCTGGGCCAGGCTAACCGCATGCATGCATATTTGGACCCGGCTAAGTGCATGCAGATTTTTTTTAACCAGGCTAAACTCAAGAAACGGCTTCCAGACCAGGCTCATACAGGCATCTCCAGGCTCCTAACCATACAACATCCAGGGAGGACTCAAGCCAGGCACAAAACGCCCAGGACATAAATCAAACTAACCCGAAATCAACCGCCTCACATGATCGCCACGTGTCCCCATGTGTACCCAAGCGTCACTCTCCCTGTTGCCATCTCAGACTGGTTATAATGGTAGTATCATAGTTAGTATCATGCATGCCAACTAGTCAATTTTGATAAGGTGTCATAGCACTAAATGAAAAAATAGAGAGGATAGTATCATATCATGATACCGTATCATAATAAATGCTATGCTACTTTGTGTCATGCATGGTAATAAATAAAGTACTACATGATACTAATATATGATACTATGCATTAGGAAAGCAGTATCATACACTAGTATCATATGCATGATACTAATATATGATACTCCATATTACAACCAGCCTCATGAAGCAAACTACAGCCACACATTCCTCCTTCCTCATGCACGTTGAACGAGTTGACCGCGTTGGGCAACTCGCTTTCCCAGCTCCAATCCGGGGATGTACCGGTGTTAGATCCACTGTCTATCGGTTTCATCAAGATTCGTGCGGTCTGACCCGGTATAACACAATAATTCATTCCAGCAACTATACTTCGTACTCCCTCCGTCCGGGTGTATAAGTCATTCGCGTAGTTCTAGGTCATCGATTTGAGAAATTAAATATGTGTTATATGTCATGAAAAGTATACCACTAGATTTTCACACGGATGTAGTTTCTAAATATATATTTTTTGTCACATATAATACATATTTAGATAGTTAAATTATTGACCTAGAACTACGCGAATGACTTATACACCGGGACGGAGGTAGTAATATAGTCTGAGACGAAACAGTGACTAGCAGCTTTTTGCAGAGGAGAGAGAGATTTAGAATTGAGAGACGGAGGCTGCATGTATTCTCTCTCCATACAAATGACATGCACTTAATTTCATTCTTAAATTTTAAATGATTGATATCTGTTAAATGAAATGTCCATTTTTGAAATTTTTTATATATTTGGAATCGTGGTGACAAGATCTTTAGAACAAGATCAATCTTGGATATATTTGAAATACTTTTTATTTTATATATTTCAGTTATCTTTGAAATGACTTTCACAAAACATAAAATTGTTTCGCTTTGAAAAAATATTTCATATATTTGAAATAATCAGTTTCACTCCTCTCAAAAAAAGAAATAATCAGTTTCACACACGCAACAATCCATTTCACATAGCCGAAATAACCAGTTTCACATATTTAAAAAATGGACCTAAATTGTTGCATAAAACTCACTTCACTCATTTCAGAATATAATTTCACTCATTTCGAAAAATTTATTTCAATCCTTAAGAGACCGATTCCACAGGTTTTGTGAAAAAAACTTGATTTTGGTCATTTTGATTTACTAATTTCAATTATTTCAAAAACATATTTCAATTATTTCCAAAAACAATTTCACTCGCTTCATAAAACATATTTTGCTCATTTCAAAAAAGTTTTGAAATAATCAGTTTCACATGTTTGAAATAACTAGTTTAATTTTTTTTAAATAACTAGTTTCACATATTTCACACCGAAAAAATGTGGCATGTGTATTTGAAGGGATTTCACTCATCTTAAAGTTTTGGTTCCATTTATTTCAGAAAACTAATTTCACTTACATAATTAGATTTCACTCAATTTAGAGAAACACATTACACCCACTCAGTTGTAATACTATATTTCAGTCGTTTCAAAAAACTGATTTCTTTTTTTTGACCCCGAAACCGTAGAACAATTGTTCTACGGTAAATTTTCATTAATAAAGTTATGTACAAAGGCAAACGAATAAAGAAAACTAAAAAAAATCAAAAAACTGATTTCACTCATTCCAAAAGATAGATTTCACACATTTCACTAGTTTCAGAAAACAAATTACACTCGCTCATTTGAAATAAGTGAAATTTAAATTTTGATATGATTGAAATAGAAAAACTTAAACTAATTTAAATATATTCAAAATTGGTCTTGTTTTACAGATCACATGTTCAGGAATTTGAATATATAAAAAATTCAATAATAGAAAATTAGTGTTAGAGATATTGTCCATCTAAAATTTTAAACAAAGATAAAATGAATGGATTTGTGTGTGACACGGAGGAGAGATTCTGCATGCATGCATGCGTACCGTTGCTGTGGAAAGGTACTACATCATTCTGACATTGATTAGACTAAAATCAGAAATACAAGAGATTTTTTGCAATCAATACTTTCATATACACATGTACATGGTCCCACAATTTTAGATGTGGCAGCACCTCATTGGTGGGAGGATCACCGGTAGCTCTCGGCTCCAGTAAAAAACACTTTGCGTCCACGCACTAGGCTTCCTCCTCCGCCCCGGCCGCCACGCAGGCCGCTCTCATCCGCCTCCAGGCTCAGCCCGCTCCCTACGCGCCCGCCTTGCATCCATCCACCGCCGCACATCGGCGGCCGCTTCCCACGCCATGCCCCGGTGCCCGCTGTCTCCGCGGGCGCCTCTAGTGCACTGTCGTGATCCAAACCCTCCGGCGTCAGGTCTATGATGAGCACCATGATGATGCGGCCCGCTGCTTCGTCGTTCTGGCCGGCGAGGCGCGTCTCTATTCTGCTCAATATATCTCGCCGGCATATCTTCTCTCTACTCCAGCAGCTCCCTCCTCGCGCCCCCACTCCGCCACCACTCCCTTGCCCAAGCCGACGTGCTCGCGACACCATACAAGACCACCGCTACTTTTTGAGTGGAGGAAAACCATTATGAGCGCGGCGACACCGCTGTGAGCCAATATTCAGCGATGTTGACGAGGGCAGGCAGTGGCGGAGCCAGGATTCGAGTATAGGGGAGGCCGAGTACATATATTGATCTAATCTCATAGGTAATTACTCATCGCTGCTATTAAAATTATCGATCATTGGGGGGGCAGGCCCCTGCTCGTCCCCCCTGGCTCCGCCCCTGAGGGCAGGATGGCCGGAGTTGAGATGCCATGGTAGACGCTACTGCAAGCGAGCAGGTGCTGCAACCAGAGGCTTGCCAAGTTTCGCAACATCACCCTTCACTAGTGCAAAACCGGGATGTATCACCGATTCGTAAGGGCCTTTAGTACCGATTCTGCAACCGGCACTAAAGAGTGAGGACTAAAGGTCCCCCCCTTTAGTATTGGTTCTACACGAACCGCTGTTAAAGGGCCACTACGTGACACGAGACAGCGCCGGGGACGGAGAGCCCTTTAGTACCGGTTGGTAACACCAACCGGTACTGAAATATTTGGATGGTTTTGGTTTTATTTTTTATTTTTTCTTTAATTTTGTGTTTTCTATTTAATTCTTTTTTATTTGCTGGTATTTTATGATACTACATATTGTACACGTTATGCATATATATAAATAGAATTTCTCGTAGAATCGATCATATATATATGGGTCGCGCTATTCGTCATCCTAGGTGAGGAATAGTTATTCTTCACCCCCTCTCTATTTTGACATCAATGCACCATATTTTTACGTTTCGTAAATTTTGTATTATTTCATACATAAAAAGAGAACGTAAAAAAATATGTATTCATCGTAAAAAATATTTTATGTTACGTAAAATTACGAATGTAAAAATATAGTGTAAAACATACATAAAATGTGATTTTTCTAGTCTTATAACCTATATTTTTGTTTTTTTATACCAAAATTTATATATTAAATCAATATACATGTAACTATTTATATTTTAAACGTGATTTATTTAAGTAGCGATCGTAAGATTACCTCGGGTGAAGAATAATTTATTCTGCACCCTAGATGACGAATAGCGCGACCCATATATCATCGAATGTCTCACAACCACCATTATACACATACACATGTATACACATACAATTTCTCCTACATATTGCCTTGGTGCCTTCGAAGCACGATGACAATTAGGAGTGGTTCATGGGGGCGGTAGCGGGTAATAGTATTCTCCTTTGGGATCTATGACCTGGTCGAGCAAAAATCCCGCTATTTCCTCTTAAAGTGCTCGTATGCGCTCCGTTGCTAGGAACTTGTCCCGCACCTCTTTGAACTGTTAAGGAGATCAATATGCATGTGTATTAGTTGTGTGACTAAATATCGATAATCATGTAAAAATTATGAATAGTGTTCTGGCAAACGTACACATTTCTGTCTTTGAGATTTGCTTTTTTCGGACACCATCATTCAAATGTTCTCGAAAATGTAGTATGCACACACATCAGTCCCCGACGCCTGCTTCACGACCTTTACGAGAATAGAATTTAATCAGATAATAATTAATCAAGCATGATAATTAATTAATGGTATTGAAACAAGAATTAAAGAGATGGTAGTTAGTTAGTAGTACTTAATTACTGACCTTGGGTCAATGCCACAACAGCTTTTTTCGCCATTTGCCTGGAGTCACCTTGATGAACTTTGCTCAAGCCCTAC